CAGCTCTCGACAGATTTAACGTGCATCGCTGCCCTACACGGCGGGTCCTTAGTGGTACTGGGCTCGAACTCGTGACAAGGCAAGCCACTGTCCGATATCTATACCACTCGGCTACCGCGGCCATACTAGCATCAGATATTCATACCAAGTACAAGATGATATGCTGGTGTTAAGTATTCTGAAGTGTCACTGAATTAGAGAGAAATAATGCTAATCAAAATACGTTGGACTACGCCTCATTTATGTCCATGCGAAAGTACTGTAATCACTGTATGCATAACTTGTACTCAATGAATCGCTTCAATTGTCAGTATGGGTAAAGAGAAGAGTTTCAGTTGTCAATTTGGGTATTCTCAACCCCACACTCTTTCAATCGTGGACAAATAGTAAGCAATCGATGCATGGGACACTCAACTTCCGAAATCGTAAGAAAGCTAGGATTTTCAAGGTTGACTGCGCCAAGAGTATGTAGAAGTGCTTCTCAAACTTTCAACATTTGCGACCCAATATTAAATCATAATTTTCATCGCGCCCCCTTCCATACAATAACAATGTACTGAATTCAATAATATTATACTTGACGCTAAGGCTACAATATGGCTTTAACCTCTCAAGTGCCACCGGCGTATATAACATCCCACTTAGCCAAAGCGTTAATTGCTCCTGGCGTATATATACGACATTCCGAAGTATGAACTTCTCTGTCCACTGCTATGCATAAAACTATTCCGAAGGCTTTGGAATGTAGTAAATGGGCCTTGCGAAGGATTTATTTATTTCAGAGAAGTTTTTACTAATTTATTCCTTTTCATCCCCCCCCCTTAATACATCCCATACGCGCCCCTACGTAAAAAACGGTAGCATTAGGGAGCGAATCATATAGCTTTTAATAGGCAATTAAGGGATTAATTATAAACCGTACAAATTATCAAGATATCAAGATTTTTATGTATGACAAGCACATGGGTTCAATGTTAATTATTAAACTTGTTCTTAGCTTAGTATAGTTAAATTAATTATAAAATACATTGTGCATTACTGATGCATTTATAAGTGTATTATATCTGTGCAAATGTGTATTTCATGTTTTATTATGTCAGAATGTATTTTGTTTGTTTAGATTCAGTAAATTAATAATTTTTTTTAAAAAAAATTATCCATTGTTTTTGACTTTTCAATATGCTTGCGCCCTTATCGTAAAGATATCACGCCCCCTAGGGGGCGCCCCACAGTTTGAGAAACGCTGGTATAGAGAGAACACACGGACGCGTCGGAAAATAGTTTTCTATTACAACGATCGCGGTATGTGGGACGGCTCTTCCCTATTGTATATAGTCAGCGAAGTAAAATATTAGCTCAAATTACCACCCAACTAAATCAAGGCGTTCTGACAGTTCACATCGTGTTGATCAAGAGAAGTGAAGTAACTGTGAATTTCCTGCCACACAGCTGTGAATTGGCAACTTTATGGATCACCACGCGTGTATTTGGACCTGCAGCTACACGTATTGCGTGATCTCGTCTGGGATCACCCCAGAAACCTTTGACACCACGATGGACCCTTTTCCCATCCACTAACTGGATGTTATTGGAAGCTAAAGGCGCCGGACGCTGATCCTCGAAGTTAGGGAGGGTAGAGAGAGAGAGAGAGAGAGAACCGGAGATGATCTGAAAACCTTCGTTGAGAGCGGACCCCGAAGAATCTCCTCCCTCCCAAACCACATCATTTGAACTTTAATATAATCTCTTTCATAAGCTTAATAACATCAATATATAATCTGTATACAATAGCTGTGACGTAAATGAACTAAATTTTTAAATTAATCAATAACACGCTACCGTTATTTATCTCAAACGTCACAGCGTCCGTCGCACGATCAATAAGCGAGCCGTGCAACGCTCCCTTCAGCGTATGGGTTTCGGAAGCAGTAGCATCGTTCAATGCACACCATCAGGTAGCACGTCTTGTCTCAACAAGGGAATACAAAAAAGGATTTCTTGAGGACTGAAAATGAGTAGCAAGAAGTAATGAATCTCAATTCCGAATACTTTAGGTGGATAGGGTGCTGAGACACTGGAGGCTTTTGAAGCCATGGATCCTGCATGCCAGGTTATGGTGGGTCAATCATGGTCTGGAGTGTTTTCACTTGAACGTTATTGTTACTAATGCCACCTGAAAGGTAAAGGCCGGACGAAATTCATCTTGGTAAAAGGATTAGTAACGCCTGTCGTTATCCGTACCTTTGAGCACCATACAGATGACAGCACGATTTGGCCCATTTCCACCCCAATTTTGAGGGAGGACACCCTGGGGGGTTAGGGGTCTTCTGCCTCCCATTCTCTTCCACGAACCTCATGAGAGGACTTGTGATTCGACGGCTATTTAGAGTACCCCCTGCCCTCGAAGGTACTATACATAGAGAAACATCAATGCCTTCTACAGGATTCAAACCCAGGTTCTATGGCACAACAGTCAGCATCACTAACGTCTATAACGGATGGTTAGCCTCTTGACTGTATTTGAGATATTTGGTACTTCTACCAAATCTCCCTTTTCAGTAGGATTTGGTATGTAGAGTTACTGTGTGATCACCTCAATTCATTTATCTATTTATGTTGTTTTGTCATCCAAAAGGAAGTGGATGACAGTGCAACATAAAATAATTTAATAATATCTAGTAAAAATAGATATTACTAAATTACTTGAGTGTGTTTTCTTTTTTTTATGTTCTTATTTAGTTTTATTTCATGCTATTTTAAAACTGTTTATCTTTATAACTATTTTTTTCTTTTTGGAAACAAAATTGAGTAATACGAATATGGTGTAGTTTCAAGAACTCATAAGAAATAACCACGCTCTAATCTTTTTATTAGAAAACTCAAAAAATATTTTTCTCCATTTATTTACTTCCATCCCAATTCATTCTAAATTTTTTTCGGTTTTTGCCCATGTGGGACTCGCTTCGCCCATCTGTCTTTATCTTTCACTTTATTCCTTTCGGATGGCCAATCTACAGCTTCATCACACTGAACTACAAGCCAATGAGAGCGCTTGCTCTCATTACCATCAAGCTTTGTTGTTTTTCCACTGCATGGACGAAATCCTCCAGTCTTCTACACCTTCTCTCTCTTTCCACTGCTCAAATATCAAGAACTTTTTTTGTATGAAAGCAACTTTTTTCCAATTTTTTTTTAAACATCATTACAAAAGTTTCCAAGTAACGACCACGTTATGGTAGATGGATTTTTTTTCTTCATTTCTATACCCGGGGTCGGCAACCTATGGCACGCATTCCACATGTGGCACGTGGAACAATTCTCAGTGGCACTCTGCACTACTCTACAAGGGGCCGTGGTAGCCGAGTGGTATAGGTATCGGATCGTGGCTTGCCTTGTCACGAGTTCGAGCCCAGTACCACTAAAGACAGGCCATGTGGGGCAGCGTAGCATATTAAATCTGTCGAGAGCTGAAACGTCCTCCCGTTGGTGTGGTAGTTAGGAGATGGGGGTGCCAACTCAGGTCTGCGTCACTTGACCATGGTTCAATATTACGTGGTCCGCCGCCAAGAGCCCTCGTGTAGCTGAACAGTGCGACGTTAATAGTCAATAAATCAATCAAAGCACTACTCTACAAATTTATGAATATTTAACTGGTTGGAAGTTAATAAATTTGTAATGGACCTTATTCTACAAATTTTTTTAGAATTATAGACATTTACGGAATTACGAAAAAAACTGAAAGAAAAAGCTATTTTATAAATTATTGAATATCATTGCTGGAGAAGAAAGAAAGAAAATCGTTTGAACTCTGCTTTCCACTTAGGAATTGAAATGTTTCAAAAATGTCCTACTGTGTGGCACGCTGAATCATATAGGTAGATTGGTTTGGCACACCACAGCTTAAAGGTTGCCGATCCCTGCTTTATACCTTAAAACAACTGCCTTTTCCTTCAACTTAAAAGAGAGAAAAAGAGTATTTTTTTTTGAAGTTATACTTTTTTGGGGGCGTTAGAGAAATAAGATGAGGGTGAATTTTTACAATGCGCGCGCACCCCGTCACGGATGTGACGCACACCGTCACAGATTCGCGCGCGAAAATCCTTTGTCAAGAAATATACAGAACGGGACAAATCGTTCCCGCCTTCGAAATTCTCAGAAAAATATTTCTCTTCACTTCCGTGAAGAAGGGGACAACCGGGTTTGAACCGGAACTTCTCGATCTGCAGTCGAAGGCCCTACCACTGAGCTATACATCCGCGTCAGCGAACCTTTGCTTTATGTTCCGTAGGAACGGATACGAAAATGCTTTGATTAG